GTCTTGTGTTCAAACAGAGAGAGAGAGAGAGAGAGAGAGAGAGAGAGAGAGAGAGATTCGAGTACACACTGATATTCCGAGACTTGTAGTGTTTCACTCACTAGAGGTAAGTGTACTCAGTGTCCCTCTACTTTGTGGAATCGTTAATGAAGGCGACTGAAGTCATACGGCAGCGAGTCTCCGCCTCCTCCTGCGCTTCAGAGAAATACCTTTCATTCCCATAATGTCAACGCGCTTTCTTTGATGCCACCTAGTGGTTTGAGGTGGTATCTATCTATCTATCTATCTATCTATCTTAAACTTTTTGTTTACATTTTTTTTTAATCCATAAAACAGAGCTTTTAGCATGTTATTGTAAGACTGGAATAATGCCACGTTCAGTTTTTCACACACAAGCACAGATATGTATTTATTCATTAATTTATTTAGCAAATATTTTTCTCAAACCCAGTGAATAATTGAGTCCATGCACTCATTTAGTATGTTAAAAAAATGTTTGTTTATATACCAAAAAATCCCAGCAATGTCAGCCTACAGTTCCCTGCCCTCATAATTGATCTAAATAGTTTAAATAACCAGCCAGTGCAAAGTTATTAACGCAGAAAACATACTATACAAACCAAACAGATATATTTAAGATGACCAACTAATAATAAACCACTTATTTTTCTCATTTATTATTTACACATTAGCATCATATTCACTAGTATTTTGCAATGATTGGAAACTACTATTTTCTTAACTTACACGGCGATTGTTTTGTATAGAGATCTAACAGAGAAAGAATATGAGAGACTAGCAGATGAGACGCTGGATGCATTGGCAGAGTATTTGGAAGACCTCACAGATGAGAGCTTCACTGGAATGGACTATGACGTTGTCTTCTCTGTAAGTACACATGCCCATGTTTTCGCATCCTTACATGTTGAATGCATGTGTGGTGCTTTTACATCTCAACCTCATGAAAAATCTGTTGTGCCTAAATGTCCAGTAGGGGTCAATGTTGGTCTGTGTTAGGCTGTTTGCAAACCATTTATTTGAATGAACCAGGATCTTTAATTAGAAAAAATGTAGAGTAGAGCCATTTGGAGGTGGAAATTGATTTCAAATATATGATATTATAGTTATTATTCTTAGATCAATTGATATTGAATGCATGTGTGGTGCTTTTACATCTCAACCTCATGAAAAATCTGTTGTGCCTAAATGTCCAGTAGGGGTCAATGTTGGTCTGTGTTAGGCTGTTTGCAAACCATTTATTTGGATGAACCAGGATCTTTAATTAGAAAAAATGTAGAGTAGAGCCATTTGGAGGTGGAAATTTATTTCAAATATATTATATTATAGTTATTATTCTTAGATCAATTGATATAGACCATTGCCGTTACAAAAGTAAACAAATTATAATCGGCAAGATTTAAAAAATGTGAAAATTAAAAAAAAATTGCAATAATTATTTATTTAATTAAAAATATTTTTGGCATGATTTGGAGTTGCTGTTTTCCATCTTTTCTTAAAGTTGTACACTTCCTGTCATGTAACCCATTTGTCTAAACTTGATATCCCCAGCCTTTTTGTGGAACATTGCAATTAAGTTGTTGCTCTGTAGGGTGAAAAAGGAGTCCTAAAACTTTTATAATGGTATCTTTTCTCTTCTTCTTTTATAGGAAAAGAGGTTTGTTTGAGTGTTATTGTTGTTGAGTGTTCCTGCACGACTTCTGTTAAGAGTTCACAGCAAAAAAGCCATTTGTGCAGCAGCCTTTGTTGCAGCACCGTGCAGAGAAAATGCACGTCTCCTGCAGGATTTATGAAGGCTGTAAACACTCAGAGCTTTTAGCATGTTATTGTAAGACTGGAATAATGCCACGTTCAGTTTTTCACACACACACAAGCACAGATATGTATTTATTCATTAATTTATTTGGCAAATATCTTTCTCAAACCCAGTGAATGATTGAGTCCATGCACTCATTTCAGTTTCATTTAAGTGTCTGGTGGGTGGCCAGCAGGCCCTGCTGACAGATTGATTGGTCATTCACGCTCCTTGTTCTCCTCTGGCTGGATAAATGTCAGGCGGTGAGCTTCCTGTCAGCTACTTACTCTGAGCGGCCCATTTTTACACCTCTCTATAGCCTCACATGCAACCAGCAAACACAGACAGCTGCAGTCGTCCCCTTAAATGGGATTCAGAAAATTCTGTTTTGCACACTGACTCGGTTGCTACAGCTAGGATGATATAATGATACTGCGTCCCTTTAGATCAAACATTCGGACAGCTGAGCCATGGTGCGGTTGACAGATTGAGCCATGTTCCCAGTGCTTGGCCTCGGATCTGACTGTACACTCAACTGTATATAAATCATCTTTGTTGAGGTTCTTTCATATACATTTGTTACACATTATTAAACAATCATTTTGTTTATGAATTCTAAATCAGTGGCATTTTGGCATCAGTTTAATTGTAAGAGTTTGTGGTTTAAATGGGTTGTTGTGAATTAGGATCATTATCATTCAGTGCTGTGAAAAAGTTAATTAATTTATTTTGAATGTTAGACTATATATATATATATGTGTGTATGTATGTATATGTTTTATATATATATATATTGTTTTATTTAAAAATATTTTCAGAAGTTGGGAAAAAGTAAGCGGACCTGGTCATTTATTTTAAAAAGAATTATAATTTTATATAATTTATTTGATTTATTATATAAAATTATGTTATAAATATAAATATATTAAGTTATAAATATATATTTCAGAAGTTTCAGAAGTTGGGAAAAAGTAAGCGGACCTGGTCATTTATTTTTAAAAAAATTATAATTTTATATAATTTATTTTATTTATTATATAAAATTATGTTATAAATATAAATATATTAAGTTATAAATATATAAGTATAATTTTTTTAAGAATCTCTTTTATCCATTCGAGTTGTTATTCCTGTAAGTGGTGCCATTTTAATGTTACAGCCTCCGACTGAAGTCCTCGTATGATTACATGTGTGTTAAATTTCTTACCAGAATGGGGTGCTGACAGTGAAAGTGGGCTCTGACCATGGTACATACGTTATCAACAAACAGACACCCAACCGACAGATTTGGCTCTCCTCACCGACAAGGTTAAACACTCAGTTCTTAATGTTCATATGTTATGCTTAACTGTTTAATCAGTTTTAAATAAAACAGTTAGAAGTCTCAATTTCTTGCTAACATGTGTAAATCCTTAAAGTACCTGTATTATTTTTTGCTTTTAGAAATGCTAGTTCTTGCATTAAATATTAACTGTGATATAATGAGAGCAATATGTTCAGTTTTCAGCTTGATCAAACATTTCTGAATGTTTCCTTTCTCAGCGGGCCGAAACGCTACTATTGGACGGGGAAGCGATGGGTGTACGCTCATGACGGCGTGGCATTGCATAATCTGCTCTCCAAAGAGTTGTCCGTCATCTTCAAATCAAATATAGACCTGTCACATCTCATCCATTCATGATGAGACCGATGTGAAGAACAAACACTGTTATAGATCCTTTCCACACCAGTTCTCTTGTGACTCTCATGATCTTTTTGGTAAGACCTTAAAACTGTAGCTAGTGCTCAAAAATCCCTTCTGGATTACAATATTGCAATGGTTTATGCTTCTTTTTGCATGCAGACCTACAAATTCAGCCAAGCTGAATCAGTCAAGCAGCACAAGCTGACCTCGGATGCACTGTAGAGATGATTTATTTGTCTACATCAAACCTGTACGCAATTATAAGCTTAAAATGCACTCAGAACAGCAGAACTCTCATAATCCCTGTAAACCTGTACCTGGTTAGATTAAAACCAGATTAAAGAGATCACATTTAATGGCTCTTAAACCAGTTGAATAAGACAAATGGACACAGATTGTTTTTTGGAGGCTGTGTTTATTTGCTCGCCTGGCCCTCGTTGAACTAGGGGCTTCTGGCTAGATGCAGGAAAAGAAGGGGATTATAACAGACAGATGGAGAAGTTTTTGCTCTAAAAGCCCCCGGCCAGAGCCTGTATTCAAGTATTATCTGTGAATAACGGCATCACATCTGATCATATTCCTCAGAGCTTTACCGCCACCCTCAGATGATTTAAAAATACCAGCCCAATTTAGCATCAGCCCGCACGTCAGTTAAAGCTGTCATTAACTCTGTAATATAATATCTTAATAGCCCATATATCGCAACATTAACTTGACACGCTGTCCATGCAGATGTTAAAATATGAGCTGGGTTGCACTGTGGTCATACGTTTGATGCCTTTAATTTGCATGCAATGAAACAATGGCACATCTGCCGCCATGCTGATGTCTGATGTACTTGTCCATTGATGCATATGTAAATATAAAATGAAATAAATTAGAATGTTGTTTTATTTTCATTGTGTGGTTTATGGTTAATTTTAGCAGCTTAATAATAAATTGTTATAAATTATGTAACATTAGAAATGATAAAATATTATGCTTAAAATTGTAATTCTTAAGTCATAAATCAAAATAATACACTGATTTCAGTGTTACACTTTGATATGAAGATTTGATACCGATTACTTTGAGATAAGTCTCTCACAGTAATTGCACCAGCTGCTTTTAAATCTTTGTGAAAACTGGAACACTCTGTCTTTGAGTTAAAGGGTCCTTTAAGATGCCTGATTATTCCCAGTACTAATGGCACCTAATTATGATACAAGCAGCTATTCAATCAGCGCTCACGGCTGATGATAAACGCTTCGAGCACCTTGTCTCTCTTTGTCCAGACATGAATATGCAAATGTCTATTATAGAGCTGGACTCGCAGGCCCAAAAATAGCATGAAGTTTCCATGGGAACATGGATTTATCACTGAACTCTGATGTCAATTGAGTGGTTTTGCTCCAAACAAGCCAAGGAAGTCTGAAAGATTCCCCGATCTCATGCGTGTTTTGCTGTCATCTCGCCCCACTGCTGGACAGACATCAGACATCGCCCTCAGCAGAGCGTTTCTCACAAGAATGTCGTCTCATGTAAACATTCAGGAATACCATGAAAACATCGAGCTGAAAATACAATGCGACCTGGGAAAATGAACCCACGTGACCTCTTCTGTCAAGCAACAACACAACACTTATCTGATGATGCAATAATGCTATTTTTGAATTGAGGATTTAATGTTGCAAAGAAGAAAAGGGAACTGTTCTTCAAATCAGGTGAGTCTTGTCCTTTCTTGTTAATTTACTCAGTTAACACCAATGCCATGAATCAAACAAAAGGCCTGATGCACTTCAGATGACTCAACGGTACTGTGTAGAGATCATGTGTGCTGTTTGGAATTCATTCCACATTAAAACTGCTTAATTGGAATTTGTTGAATGTTAATTAGCACAAGTTGTTTGAACTTAGGCTGAAAATCTCCAAATCCCATTTCTTTGTTGCTGCAACCCACGATTAAGCAAAGTTATCAAAGGGATTTCTACAATATCCAAATGGTACTGTAGACTGCTTATGTATGCGCGTTCTCAAAGAAAACAGAGATCATTTAGATTTTCTTCTTGTGATTGCGATGTTATAAATCCGCTTTTATTTCTCACAGTTGTGACTTAATATCACAATACATCACATTTTGAGAGTCTCACTTAAGATATAGTCAAAATTATAGGAAATAGTCTCAGAATGTGACCGTATCTCACAATTGTCCCTTTATTTTCTGTAATTGTAACTTTGTTTCACACAACTGAGACTTTATATCTCAAATAAGGTGTTCTGGTTGGTTGCTAGGTGCTTGTTAAATGGTCCAAGTCAAAAGAGTTCACCCTCAAGTCTTTGTTTTATTTTGGTCTGGATATGGCTTGAGTCCCTCCCTCCAGGCAAGAATTGTACAAAAAGTGCAGCTGCTTAAAGTAATAACTCAATTCCTTGATAAGTCAGGTGATATTATCTTAAGAAGGTCCCACAAAAGTAGCAAAAAACATTTGTTCTGCTTCGACGATATGAGTGCAATGGAGTCGATGTCAAAGATAAGAAATTAATCTTTCCGATTTCCGGCGAATGCAGCAATTTGTCTCAATTTTCTTCAGGTTTATGGCAGCACTAGACCCCGCTGTCAAGCTCAAAGATTGAATTCCTCCACAGGCCTCATGGTACAAGATACCATTAGCCAATTGGTAGACTTCAGAAAAACAAACTGGAAAAAAAATAGACATGAACGTTTTTAAGATTCAAATTTACTTTCAAAGTTATTTTTAATTCATGTGGGTTGCTGACAAATTGAAATCGACATTTTAACAGATTTTAGTATAAAATTACCAAATATGTATATATGGGGTAGTGTATGTTAGTGCTGTAACTGTTCACCATTTCCCGTTTTCACCATTTTTAATTCACTTTTTGATGTCCTTTGTTCATTTCGCTGGTCCTGAGGCATTAACAACTTTTAGAAAGTAACAAATAAGTGTATATAGGCTCTCAAATAATGTTAAGTCATAAATGCGTGCAAAATAATAACATTTGCCGTTAAATGTCAATTCAGAAGGCGTTTCAGATAGATCATATCACACCACAGGACATTTCAAATTACTAAGCTACTTCGATTCACCATTTCCAACACTTAGAAGAAAGTAAATATGAATTATTGAACTTATTTTATGCTTATTAATGCTGAAATCACTCTTTCTTTTTAGTGATTAACTGATTATGTGACTACCAGGGTCCAGAATTATGATTTTTGCCACTTCAATGGCGGGTAAATTAAGAAAATTCACTGTTCGTATAAGCCTACATGGAATTTGTTGAATGTTAATTAGCACAAGTTGTTTGAACTTAGGCTGAAAATCTCCAAATCTCATTTCTTTGTTGCTGCAACCCACGATTAAGCAAAGTTATCAAAGGGATTTCTACAATATCCAAATGGTACTGTAGACTGCTTATGTATGCGCGTTCTCAAAGAAAACAGAGATCATTTAGATTTTCTTCTTGTGATTGCGATGTTATAAATCCGCTTTTATTTCTCACAGTTGTGACTTAATATCACAATACATCACATTTTGAGAGTCTCACTTAAGATATAGTCAAAATTATAGGAAATAGTCTCAGAATGTGACCGTATCTCACAATTGTCCCTTTATTTTCTGTAATTGTAACTTTGTTTCACACAACTGAGACTTTATATCTCAAATAAGGTGTTCTGGTTGGTTGCTAGGTGCTTGTTAAATGGTCCAAGTCAAAAGAGTTCACCCTCAAGTCTTTGTTTTATTTTGGTCTGGATATGGCTTGAGTCCCTCCCTCCAGGCAAGAATTGTACAAAAAGTGCAGCTGCTTAAAGTAATAACTCAATTCCTTGATAAGTCAGGTGATATTATCTTAAGAAGGTCTCACAAAAGAAGCAAAAAACAGTTGTTCTGCTTCGACGATATGAGTGCAATGGAGTCGATGTCAAAGATAAGAAATTCATCTTTCCGATTTCCGGCGAATGCAGCAATTTGTCTCAATTTTCTTCAGGTTTATGGCAGCACTAGACCCCGCTGTCAAGCTCAAAGATTGAATTCCTCCACAGGCCTCATGGTACAAGATACCATTAGCCAATTGGTAGACTTCAGAAAAACAAACTGGAAAAAAAATAGACATGAACGTTTTTAAGATTCAAATTTACTTTCAAAGTTATTTTTAATTCATGTGGGTTGCTGACAAATTGAAATCGACATTTTAACAGATTTTAGTATAAAATTACCAAATATGTATATATGGGGTAGTGTATGTTAGTGCTGTAACTGTTCACCATTTCCCGTTTTCACCATTTTTAATTCACTTTTTGATTTCCTTTGTTCATTTCGCTGGTCCTGAGGCATTAACAACTTTTAGAAAGTAACAAATAAGTGTATATAGGCTCTCAAATAATGTTAAGTCATAAATGCGTGCAAAATAATAACATTTGCCGTTAAATGTCAATTCAGAAGGCGTTTCAGATAGATCATATCACACCACAGGACATTTCAAATTACTAAGCTACTTCGATTCACCATTTCCAACACTTAGAAGAAAGTAAATATGAATTATTGAACTTATTTTATGCTTATTAATGCTGAAATCACTCTTTCTTTTTAGTGATTAACTGATTATGTGACTACCAGGGTCCAGAATTATGATTTTTGCCACTTCAATGGCGGGTAAATTAAGAAAATTCACTGTTCGTATAAGCCTACATATATATTTCCAGCCATTAAACTGTATTTTGCATTATTTGTATTTTTTTTTAAATAACAAACATTTTATATTTTATAATATTTTATAAAATATTTTGTCTCTGCAACAGTGACATTATTTAGCTGTTTCGTTGTGTCACTTGCAGCATCGTTTAGATGCGCCAGACAACTATTGTTTAGTAGACGGTTTTTACATTTTACTTGATTTAAAAATGATTCAGATCAGTCATCAGTCACTCTTGGCAATTGTTAATTTTGTACTCTGGTCACAGCGCAATTGAACATGGAAGTAGCTCTGCATAAACCAACAAAAATACAGTTCATAGGAGATAAAACAATCTCCTTTTTTAAAGCAGCACTATGTAACTTTTGGCGCTCTAGCGGTTCAGGTGAGTCTTGTCCTTTCTTGTTAATTTACTCAGTTAACACCAATGCCATGAATCAAACAAAAGGCCTGATGCACTTCAGATGACTCAACGGTACTGTGTAGAGATCATGTGTGCTGTTTGGAATTCATTCCACATTAAAACTGCTTAATTGGAATTTGTTGAATGTTAATTAGCACAAGTTGTTTGAACTTAGGCTGAAAATCTCCAAATCTCATTTCTTTGTTGCTGCAACCCACGATTAAGCAAAGTTATCAAAGGGATTTCTACAATATCCAAATGGTACTGTAGACTGCTTATGTATGCGCGTTCTCAAAGAAAACAGAGATCATTTAGATTTTCTTCTTGTGATTGCGATGTTATAAATCCGCTTTTATTTCTCACAGTTGTG